ATGTTGGATAGGCCACACATAGCTTTGTTGTCACCAGGAAGTACAAACCTCCCCGATTTTGTTACCTTGAGTCGCCTTAACCGTGGCATTTATGTTGTGTGCCGTGTGCCTGTGGAAGAGCACCGCGAGCGCAGCTAGGAACACAGTGGCACAAAGCTCATGGAGTCATGTAAAAACTGGATGCTCCCACTGCTGCATTGTACGGAATTTCCAGTGTCAGTAGGGTAGGTCTGTGTAGAATGTTAAAGTCATTTGTAACGACGTGGTTATGTAACCACTTTTCTCTACTGCACAATAGGGCTTGAAAGTGCTACGTCACAGCATAGCAACAATTTCAAAAATTCAAAAATTGGATCCACTTGGATCCAGTTTTTGTATGGATCCAAGCACATTTCAAGCCGTCTTACTCACAGCAAGGTGATGTAACCAGTGAAACTGACTGATTTGGCTACTGGGGCCGGGGTTACAACTGGTGGCGAAGTAAAAGTCACCCCTGCATACGACATGAGTGGGTTGCTATGCACCCACATACTGAGGCAATAGCAAAGTCACACCTTAGTGGATCCAAAATAGAAATCTGGTGTCAACTTACTACTCCCTGGCCGTTTTTGACGTCATCACTTTCAAGCTATAGCATAGGGCTTTTTTTGACGTCATCACTTTCAAGCTATAGGGCTTGAAAGTGATGACGTCAAAAACGGCCAGGGAGTAGTAAGTTGACATCAGATTTCTATTTTGGATCCGCTAAGGTGTGATTTTGCTATTGCCTAAGTATGTGGGTGCATAGCAACCCACTCATGTCGCATGCAGGTGCAACTTTTATTTTGCCACCAGTTGTCACCACGCCCCAATAGCCAAATCAGTCAGTTTCACTGGCTACATCACCTTCCTGTGAGTAAGACCGCTTGAAATGTGCTTGGATCCATACAAAAACTGGATCCAAGTGGATCCAGTTTTTGAATTTTTGAAATTGTTGCTATGCTGTGACGTAGCACTTTCAAGCCCTATGCACAACATACAGACGTGCTCCACGTTTATGTAATCATGGTAACATAATGTATACACGTACTACGTGACGTAGATCGATATTAAGGGAAAATAACACCGTACTCACTCGAGTAGAAGCCGGGGGCTTCTATTTTTTCAATACCAATTTTGACGAGGCTTATATTCAAGAGGGGCTTTTATTGAACCATTCCATACCAGTATTCCAATCGGATCTCTAAAACTATCATATTCACAGCAACTCGGCCCTGAGTTAGTTTGCACACACTACGTTGGGCAGGACATGTACCAATATGTGCATGCACGAGATGTTTTTGCGTACTTGACAACATACATTGCACTACTGCTTGGTCACCCCATGCTTCGCAAATGAATAGTCTGGGCTTCTATTCGAGAGGGGCTTGTATTTTTTCAAACAGTCCTTGTTGCCTGTAGGAGGGCTATTATTCAAGAGAGGCTTTTATTCGAGAGGGGCTTCTAATCAAGTGAGTACGGTATATTGTCCCCTTGCTTACGTTTTACCGTGTGGCAGAAACTCACTATAATTATTATAGTGAGTTTCTGCCACACGGTAAAACGTACCAAAGAAGTACGTATGGAAACCTCGCCGCGGTACGGAATCAACTTTCACACGGATTATTCATACCGTTTTGGTCTCCGTGTGAAAACTGAGCGCACAGAATACATGTGGCGGTGAGTTTGAGCATGCTACACACAGCAGAACCGGTGCAACGTACGAAAAATCCGTGCCAAACTTCACTGCAGTTGACGTGGAGTTTGGTACGTAGTTCCGTGTCGCAGAAACTCACTAATATTTTTGCTTTTGCAGCATCCGTATGCCTAGGCTATGGGCATAATATGGTAGAAAACGGTACTCCATTTCTGTACGTCGCGCGTCACATGTCACAAGAGTTGAACTATGGTCAATACAACTTCTGCGACAGTGGCCTTGTGACTGCTATGACAGTACGCGACAGGTATTTCCTTGTCGTAAGTGTCGTTTGTAGCGTTGCAAAACTTGTGGTTTTGTGAATAGGCCATCAGGTCTTTCCCTCCCTCCCTCCCCCCCCCCCCCCCCTCTCTCTCCTTCTCTCTCTCTTCCCTTTGTTCGCCTCCTAGTTTCTGGATGTGCTTGTCTATTTTGGTCAGCAAGCTGAACTATTATCTAAACCAACCCACCAGCCGACGTATTATTGATCCAGTCAATTTCAGGCAATGTTTTTCAAACAAATACGGATACGATTTGGCCGTTAAAATGTTCTTAGAAGACTGTATGACTCATTGGACTTGTTTTACATTGCCCCACACCCCGGTACCAGCACTGCAGCTGTTCCCGGCTGTTCCTTGCACATCCTCAGGCACACACATATACACAGCACACTGGCCTACTGTTGTAGGTACGCAAGCGGAAGAAACCTGGGATAGAATCGTTCTCAATACGTGCTGTGAGACCCCCGTGACTGTAGCCATCCATTGATTATAACCCTACAACATCCGGGGGCTTCGGACACGCTACGGTCACTACGGTATTGACTGTACCACTTTTGCCCCGGGTACCCCGTGAATCAATGAAATACACTGATCTGGGATCTAAAATTCCAAAATTTTCGGCTCAGCCACCACTCCCCCACGAGTAAATTGTACTTCAGATCATCATACCACACTAAAAATACCTTCCGACACCCCTGTCCTCACAACACTCTCCTAGCGGTCTCTGGCCCAGTCTGGCCTACACCCAACAATGAAAAAGAATCAAATCATCCGAATTTTCAGGCAAGGCCCATCTTCAGGAAAGCATCTAAATTCCTATAAAAATCAGGCAATGACATTGGAGGCCACTTATGAGTCAGTATGTCAGACAACACATTGCAAAAATGCTTACAGTCATGAAAGCCGACAACGAAATATGGAATCTGATGTAAGGAAAGAAGCTGTGGAAAAGTAGTTGGGGGAAATAGCCAAGCCCAAGCAGGCTCCTATTCTAGTCCAGACAGACGCAACAAGGCATGCAGGGCCTTGATATGAGTATACAGTCATGTGATCAATGATAGAAACACTGATACTCATTCACACATACACAGACATTTATGCACATACCATATCTTAGTTAGTTCCATAATGAAAAGTAGACTTCTTTGCAAAGAAATACATGTATATCAATCTATACCATCAATATTCCAATCAGTACCTGATCTTAGAATCATAGCCAGTCGGGTTCAATCAGTCTTTGAAATGAGCACTCGGCAGGTAACCAAAGCCATAATACATTTCGTATACGTGTATTGGTAAGAAATCTTTACGCATGTGGAGAACTGAATGAATCTCACTTGGAAAAAAGGATGGCATGCAAGCTAGCTGCTGTTGATCCTCGTTACTTAATGATGCCATCGCTGTAGCTTGCCATGATGTCATGGCTTGTTGAACATGAGTGCGTGCAGCAGCCAGAGCTTGAGCTTGCGGTGCGTCACCTCGCCACACGTGCCAATGTCAATGAAACCGAGCAGCGCTTCCAGAGTGTCATCATTCATTGGCACCGTGGACTGCAACAGCAACGCAACAGCCACACACACACCGTGATTGAACGCTAGCAACAACCAGAGACACTGAATGCATTCGATCACGCCCATGATTCGATTCATGAATGGAATCTTGTGCATTTATGTCGTTCGATTGTCATGTCATCAGCCCTGGAATCAGTTCGCAATCGGTTCATCCTATTCACAAGTTTATAAACTTCTAGCAAATTACAGCGCCTACTTAAAAGTTGGGGTGAAATGAACATCGGATTTTGAATACGAACGAACTCTCACGCTAACGAACGAACTCGAACGAACATTCTCCATAATGTATTTCATGGATGTAACAAAATAATTAATACTAACTGGCTACAAGCGAGGGTCCCTGGTTCGAGTCCTGGTGGTGACAGTCAATTTTTTCTTCAGACTTTTCCCGTTTGTCTCCTTCCCTCAAACCAGTTAAAACAAATACTAACAATATGTAATTTTGAAGACCGTACAGGCGTTCTCTGTACTTGCCTGGCCACTGTTCAGTATTGACAGTGTGATGCTATTGCTTAACAAACACTTTGATCATGCATGTATATCTACATGTGAGCTAGCTAGCTCTAGTCTAGTCTAGAGCCAGAGCTACGACACCAGAATCACTGAGAAAGTGAGAATGCTCAATGGCCGCATGATGCACTGCCAGTGCCACCCAGTCGAACAGATATTTTTTATCACGCCAGCTGGCACTATATCACAGGGTGTTGCAGCTAGCTTAGCTGCAAAGTCCATCACCATCGTCTGGACGAGAGTTTTCTTCTCATCGCTAGCTCAGGTCGCCAGAACAAGAGAATGGTACAGCTTGAGGGGAGTACGGAGATTGCTCCTCGTCGCTCTGTTGTGTGATAGAACCTTTTTGAAATTGAGAAAAGGACTTCGTCTTTTCCGGCCACTTTATCAAAATTCCGCCCCAACTCCGGACCGCGATGAAAGACTCGAATGTTTTGACATGACTGCAACAACGAGTGAACGTTTGCTTTCAGGTGCAGATGTCACAAGCGACTCGACTCCTTTCACTACAAATCTACCTCAAACGGACACAGACATATTTCAAGAAACTTCGTCCCGACGCGACACTCCACTCCTTCAACTTGTTTCAAGTGATCGTCGAGGCAGACGCAGTTGATAAGCGTGCAAGCTCGCGATCTCCCGACCTCCGGCTATACTAGCTCCTTCATGATCTACAAATTATTTGTAGTCACAAGCGATCTACAATTCTACATGCTTGCTTGCTGTGTTCGTTTATCAATCTTGTGAGTTCGTTCGTTCGTTTTCAACTTTTTCGTACGAATATTCGAACTTCTGTTCGTTCGTTCACCCCTACTTAAAAGCACATTGCACTTCCACTGGTTACTTACGAGAGTTGCAGGTATTCCAAACGCATTGCTCATCTCTTCATAGAGCCGTGCCCTGGCCGCATCCTGAACATTGAGAGCAAAGGAAGTCTCACCGTCAAAGCGCAAAAGCACAATCTGGTCCACAACTAGGGAGTCGGGACAAGAACTACTGCTGCTGTGGTCCGGAAGCACTACGTGTATTGCATTTGCCTGCAATGATCCTGTTCTAAAGTGTGTGACAGTGTTGTATAAATCATATACCAAGTAGGCAAACAGAGATTAGACCAGAAGGACCGGGCTAATTGCTAGTATGTTTGCCATAAGCATGAGTTCGAAGTTTTGGCATCGCCTCTGTGTGTGCGTGCGTGTGCGTGTGTGTGTGTGTGTCAATGTTTGTGTACGCATGCACGCCTGCCCACTAAGGAGTTAGCTGCAATCTCACACTGGGTGTGTTCGATTACTGCCATGAATCGATTCATGAATGGAATCCCCTCGTTCGATTTCTTGACATGAGCCCTGGAATCGGTTCAGAATCCATTCATCCTATTCACATGGGATGATGTGCATAACCAGGGGCGATTCATGAATGGATTCAACATTGTTTCGCGGACATAACCGAACCCATTCACTGATCCGAGCAGCTCACCTGTGCTGTCATTGGCTCTGCGGCGTACATATGCGCATCACTTGTGCTCGTTGAGTCTGATCTTGTAGTGGCTGGATTCTGCACTGCACGGGCACGTGCCGCAAGTGACTTCAGTTGATATCGCGAGAAGAAGCGGCAGCCCAGTCCAATGCGCTTGTAACCGCTACCAGGTATGGGCTCGTCTTGCGGCTCCCTGCTGGATGAGAAGAGCAGCACGACTTCGTCATCGCTACTGCCACTACCACTGAGAGGCGGCTGCTGTGCATTTCTCAGCTGATTGATGACGAACTGAAGGATCGTCGGCGTTTCGTCATTGGTGTTGTATTGCAGGCCGACAGAGCTGGGTCTCCACCAGGTGAACTTAAGGTCAGCCGTGCCGCACACGTCTCTGCTTTCTTTCATTTCCTTCAGTACGTTAGAGTCCTTAGCGCCGCCATGGCTTGTCTCGCCTCCAGCCTTACCAGTGTCCAACAGCAAACTACCGATGTCAGCTTGCTCTTTAGCAGTCACTTTCAGCACGTTGGTGAGGTGCTCTTCAAAGTTGCTCGGCAGATTGATGGCCGTGCGCCAGCTGATCTTCTTCATGCGTGGGCAGCATGCCTCCTGATAGGCCTGGCAACGCTCTTCCAGTATGGTATCGGCAATGTCTCTCACCTTGCCACTATCACCACATATATACATCGGTAGAGTGGTATGCACTTCATGCAACTCAGCAGCAGGGTTGTCCCTGCAGATGGCGTCCAGCCTGTGCCGTATGGTCACCAGGTCTTGCCACATTGGGGCTGATTTTGCCTTGGACCGTGGTGCCGGTGCTACTGTCTTGTGTGGCGAAAGAGATTTGCTGTCGCCAAACTTGGGCTCGATCAGTGCAGGGAACCCCGGCGGTGTTTTCGTACCCGTGACGGGAACACCGCACAGAAGCTGACGAATGCAGGCCGGCAGCTTTGCCAGCTCCTCGCCGCTTATGGCCTGCAGGTAGTCCAAGTTCTGTACTTGCTGCGAGGCTAGCGAGGCTCGGTACGTTGTCAGCGTTGCCCGGATGACGTTCCACGCCACCGTAGCCGTTCCTGCCCACTTGGCCGGTGGGTGGCGCCAAGCACCCGCTGGCACAGTGCTGAGCTCGGCTGCACTCGACCGGTTGGACTGGGCGGCGCCTTGAGGGCCCTTTCTGGCAGCCAGACGAGAGCAGAAGATGTGCAGCAGTGCAAGGACTTTCTGCAGTGCCAGGATCAACCTGCAACGAATAATATAAAAGCATACAGCAGGAAAAGTGCTGTTTGGGCTGAAGACTTTGCAGTCCTACTAGTATCAGTGGGACACTGATCTCAAGGGTGTGTTCCAGTTCAAAACCGTCAAATCTAAATGACTGTATTGCTCACTAAATTATGCTATGTCAGTGCTAGCAGGGCATTTCACAAATAAAGCAGGAACAAGTTGAACAAACTGGTCACGCAGAAGGCAAGGGCAAGTTGGGCTAACTGAGCTAGAATTTCACGTAGGAAGTATCCCAAGTATTTGGCAAATACTAGTAGCAGTATCTGAGAGCACATGTTGCATGTGGCTTTGAAGACAGCGGGCCGTATGCTCAGCGTGGACAGCACCTGCAAATTCCACAGAGTCTTGGCTCCTTGTTTGACTTGAACATGACTGGCAGACAGTGGAGCACAATCCACCGTCGACTTGGTCTATAAGACGTCACAGTCCAAGGGCAATTCTGCCGAAACGTAAGAATTGATAAAAACGAGTTCGATACAACTGCGGAGTGAACGGGAAAGAGCAGGTCTGCTCTAAACTACTTCCTACGATGTGGTGTTGCAGAGTGTGGTGATTGTAGCCCATCCTTACCTGTAATTCAATGTGCAAGAATCAACCTCCTTGAGTAGGTTACCGATTCTCAGCACACATGTCCGTACGGCGTTCACTGAGAACGGGACATGGAGCGACAGGAAACCTGCAGGAAAGCAACCGAGATCACACATAGTACCAACATGTTAATCTTGCTTGGTTCTGGAAATCAATAATGCACCAGCGCTGGACCGAGCAGTGGCGTGATGTTAACACACAGAATGCCATCGGCTATAACGAGCCCTCCTGCAGATAATGCAATAAAACCTGCCCTAGCTGGCCGCCCTTGGTGCAGCGGAAACTGTCCTGATGTGACAGGATTCCGCTTGATCCAGGGATGCATGTTCAATCCACAGCACTTTGGTGCATGAACAATTGTGCGGTCAAATACAGGATTGGTACAGGGTCCGGCAAACACAGGTTTTGCTGTGGCTTGGTGTACACTGTAATGGTGAATCAAGGCGAGGAGCATGCCACTACCCCTGCCCCTGTCTGTCATGTCCTCTTGCTGCCCTTGCTATAGTCTGTCATGTCCTCATGCTGCCCCTGCTATAGTCTGTCATGTCCTCTTGCTGCCCCTGCTATAGTCTGTCATGTCCTCTTGCTGCCCCTGCTATAGTCTGTCATGTCCTCTTGCTGCCCCTGCTATAGTCTGTCATGTCCTCTTGCTGCCCCTGCTATAGTCTGTCATGTCCTCTTGCTGCCCCTGCTATAGTCTGTCATGTCCTCTTGCTGCCCCTGCTATAGTCTGTCATGTCCTCTTGCTGCCCCTGCTATAGTCTGTCATGTCCTCTTGCTGCCCCTGCTATAGTCTGTCATGTCCTCTTGCTGCCCCTGCTATAGTCTGTCATGTCCTCTTGCTGCCCCTGCTATAGTCTGTCATGTCCTCTTGCTGCCCCTGCTATAGTCTGTCATGTCCTCTTGCTGCCCCTGCTATAGTCTGTCATGTCCTCTTGCTGCCCCTGCTATAGTCTGTCATGTCCTCTTGCTGCCCCTGCTATAGTCTGTCATGTCCTCTTGCTGCCCCTGCTATAGTCTGTCATGTCCTCTTGCTGCCCCTGCTATAGTCTGTCATGTCCTCTTGCTGCCCCTGCTATAGTCTGTCATGTCCTCTTGCTACCCCTGCTATAGTCTGTCATGTCCTCTTGCTGCCCCTGCTATAGTCTGTCATGTCCTCTTGCTGCCCCTGCTATAGTCTGTCATGTCCTCTTGCTGCCCCTGCTATAGTCTGTCATGTCCTCTTGCTGCCCCTGCTATAGGCGGTCATGTCCTCTTGCTGCCCCTGCTATAGTCTGTCATGTCCTCTTGCTGCCCCTGCTATAGTCTGTCATGTCCTCTTGCTGCCCCTGCTATAGTCTGTCATGTCCTCTTGCTGCCCCTGCTATAGTCTGTCATGTCCTCTTCTGCCCCTGCTATAGTCTGTCATGTCCTCTTGCTGCCCCTGCTATAGTCTGTCATGTCCTCTTGCTGCCCCTGCTATAGTCTGTCATGTCCTCTTGCTGCCCCTGCTATAGTCTGTCATGTCCTCTTGCTGCCCCTGCTATAGTCTGTCATGTCCTCTTGCTGCCCCTGCTATAGTCTGTCATGTCCTCTTGCTGCCCCTGCTATGTCTGTCATGTCCTCTTGCTGCCCCTGCTATAGTCTGTCATGTCCTCTTGCTGCCCCTGCTATAGTCTGTCATGTCCTCTTGCTGCCCCTGCTATAGTCTGTCATGTCCTCTTGCTGCCCCTGCTATAGTCTGTCATGTCCTCTTGCTGCCCCTGCTATAGTCTGTCATGTCCTCTTGCTGCCCCTGCTATAGTCTGTCATGTCCTCTTGCTGCCCCTGCTATAGTCTGTCATGTCCTCTTGCTGCCCCTGCTATAGTCTGTCATGTCCTCTTGCTGCCCCTGCTATAGTCTGTCATGTCCTCTTGCTGCCCCTGCTATAGTCTGTCATGTCCTCTTGCTGCCCCTGCTATAGTCTGTCATGTCCTCTTGCTGCCCCTGCTATAGTCTGTCATGTCCTCTTGCTGCCCCTGCTATAGTCTGTCATGTCCTCTTGCTGCCCCTGCTATAGTCTGTCATGTCCTCTTGCTGCCCCTGCTATAGTCTGTCATGTCCTCTTGCTGCCCCTGCTATAGTCTGTCATGTCCTCTTGCTGCCCCTGCTATAGTCTGTCATGTCCTCTTGCTGCCCCTGCTATAGTCTGTCATGTCCTCTTGCTGCCCCTGCTATAGTCTGTCATGTCCTCTTGCTGCCCCTGCTATAGTCTGTCATGTCCTCTTGCTGCCCCTGCTATAGTCTGTCATGTCCTCTTGCTGCCCCTGCTATAGTCTGTCATGTCCTCTTGCTGCCCCTGCTATAGTCTGTCATGTCCTCTTGCTGCCCCTGCTATAGTCTGTCATGTCCTCTTGCTGCCCCTGCTATAGTCTGTCATGTCCTCTTGCTGCCCCTGCTATAGTCTGTCATGTCCTCTTGCTGCCCCTGCTATAGTCTGTCATGTCCTCTTGCTGCCCCTGCTATAGTCTGTCATGTCCTCTTGCTGCCCCTGCTATAGTCTGTCATGTCCTCTTGCTGCCCCTGCTATAGTCTGTCATGTCCTCTTGCTGCCCCTGCTATAGTCTGTCATGTCCTCTTGCTGCCCCTGCTATAGTCTGTCATGTCCTCTTGCTGCCCCTGCTATAGTCTGTCATGTCCTCTTGCTGCCCCTGCTATAGTCTGTCATGTCCTCTTGCTGCCCCTGCTATAGTCTGTCATGTCCTCTTGCTGCCCCTGCTATAGTCTGTCATGTCCTCTTGCTGCCCCTGCTATAGTCTGTCATGTCCTCTTGCTGCCCCTGCTATAGTCTGTCATGTCCTCTTGCTGCCCCTGCTATAGTCTGTCATGTCCTCTTGCTGCCCCTGCTATAGTCTGTCATGTCCTCTTGCTGCCCCTGCTATAGTCTGTCATGTCCTCTTGCTGCCCCTGCTATAGTCTGTCATGTCCTCTTGCTGCCCCTGCTATAGTCTGTCATGTCCTCTTGCTGCCCCTGCTATAGTCTGTCATGTCCTCTTGCTGCCCCTGCTATAGTCTGTCATGTCCTCTTGCTGCCCCTGCTATAGTCTGTCATGTCCTCTTGCTGCCCCTGCTATAGTCTGTCATGTCCTCTTGCTGCCCCTGCTATAGTCTGTCATGTCCTCTTGCTGCCCCTGCTATAGTCTGTCATGTCCTCTTGCTGCCCCTGCTATAGTCTGTCATGTCCTCTTGCTGCCCCTGCTATAGTCTGTCATGTCCTCTTGCTGCCCCTGCTATAGTCTGTCATGTCCTCTTGCTGCCCCTGCTATAGTCTGTCATGTCCTCTTGCTGCCCCTGCTATAGTCTGTCATGTCCTCTTGCTGCCCCTGCTATAGTCTGTCATGTCCTCTTGCTGCCCCTGCTATAGTCTGTCATGTCCTCTTGCTGCCCCTGCTATAGTCTGTCATGTCCTCTTGCTGCCCCTGCTATAGTCTGTCATGTCCTCTTGCTGCCCCTGCTATAGTCTGTCATGTCCTCTTGCTGCCCCTGCTATAGTCTGTCATGTCCTCTTGCTGCCCCTGCTATAGTCTGTCATGTCCTCTTGCTGCCCCTGCTATAGTCTGTCATGTCCTCTTGCTGCCCCTGCTATAGTCTGTCATGTCCTCTTGCTGCCCCTGCTATAGTCTGTCATGTCCTCTTGCTGCCCCTGCTATAGTCTGTCATGTCCTCTTGCTGCCCCTGCTATAGTCTGTCATGTCCTCTTGCTGCCCCTGCTATAGTCTGTCATGTCCTCTTGCTGCCCCTGCTATAGTCTGTCATGTCCTCTTGCTGCCCCTGCTATAGTCTGTCATGTCCTCTTGCTGCCCCTGCTATAGTCTGTCATGTCCTCTTGCTGCCCCTGCTATAGTCTGTCATGTCCTCTTGCTGCCCCTGCTATAGTCTGTCATGTCCTCTTGCTGCCCCTGCTATAGTCTGTCATGTCCTCTTGCTGCCCCTGCTATAGTCTGTCATGTCCTCTTGCTGCCCCTGCTATAGTCTGTCATGTCCTCTTGCTGCCCCTGCTATAGTCTGTCATGTCCTCTTGCTGCCCCTGCTATAGTCTGTCATGTCCTCTTGCTGCCCCTGCTATAGTCTGTCATGTCCTCTTGCTGCCCCTGCTATAGTCTGTCATGTCCTCTTGCTGCCCCTGCTATAGTCTGTCATGTCCTCTTGCTGCCCCTGCTATAGTCTGTCATGTCCTCTTGCTGCCCCTGCTATAGTCTGTCATGTCCTCTTGCTGCCCCTGCTATAGTCTGTCATGTCCTCTTGCTGCCCCTGCTATAGTCTGTCATGTCCTCTTGCTGCCCCTGCTATAGTCTGTCATGTCCTCTTGCTGCCCCTGCTATAGTCTGTCATGTCCTCTTGCTGCCCCTGCTATAGTCTGTCATGTCCTCTTGCTGCCCCTGCTATAGTCTGTCATGTCCTCTTGCTGCCCCTGCTATAGTCTGTCATGTCCTCTTGCTGCCCCTGCTATAGTCTGTCATGTCCTCTTGCTGCCCCTGCTATAGTCTGTCATGTCCTCTTGCTGCCCCTGCTATAGTCTGTCATGTCCTCTTGCTGCCCCTGCTATAGTCTGTCATGTCCTCTTGCTGCCCCTGCTATAGTCTGTCATGTCCTCTTGCTGCCCCTGCTATAGTCTGTCATGTCCTCTTGCTGCCCCTGCTATAGTCTGTCATGTCCTCTTGCTGCCCCTGCTATAGTCTGTCATGTCCTCTTGCTGCCCCTGCTATAGTCTGTCATGTCCTCTTGCTGCCCCTGCTATAGTCTGTCATGTCCTCTTGCTGCCCCTGCTATAGTCTGTCATGTCCTCTTGCTGCCCCTGCTATAGTCTGTCATGTCCTCTTGCTGCCCCTGCTATAGTCTGTCATGTCCTCTTGCTGCCCCTGCTATAGTCTGTCATGTCCTCTTGCTGCCCCTGCTATAGTCTGTCATGTCCTCTTGCTGCCCCTGCTATAGTCTGTCATGTCCTCTTGCTGCCCCTGCTATAGTCTGTCATGTCCTCTTGCTGCCCCTGCTATAGTCTGTCATGTCCTCTTGCTGCCCCTGCTATAGTCTGTCATGTCCTCTTGCTGCCCCTGCTATAGTCTGTCATG